ACTTAACGTTAACATAAGATTAGTTTTTGAGTGATTTCCATTTTAAGATGCTGATCCCCCATCTTTGGTATTGATTTGCTGATTATATAAATACATTTCAAATCAAGCTTTCCTATTTTAGTACGATCGGCAACCAACAAATCTTTTAGTGTTTTAAAAATTCATCACATGACTACAGAATGTATAATATTTTTTATTATTTAATGTTTATTATTCGTGTTTTGTTTCACAAAAATAAATATAACAGTAAAAAACACTGTTTATAATTCTTTTAATTAGTTGACTTTTTTTTCACTTAATGTTTACAAATTTCCTTTCTTCTCCTTTTACTAGCATATCAAGCTTCTTTAAGTGATGCATTGTGTGAAACTTTTTCACAGACTAAGGCCATACAAACTCGATTTTATGGTTTTCATAATATAAAAATTTCATCAATAACCCGGCAACCCGGCTTTTAATTTTTTTTTTCAAAAATTTTATATGCGAAATTTTTTTTCAATTTTTAAAAAATTCTCACCCGGCATAGTAATATTATAAAAAAAAAAAATTTTTTTTAACTTAACGAACTGACCCGGCCGGACTATGAAACCATTTTTACCACTTTGTGTCGCCTAATGTTTTTGATGGCCTAGATTTCACTTCAAAATCTGCTTCCCATTAATTAGTCGATAAATGTAAAATCGATCCATCTCCATAAAATTCTTTCATTTTTGCTTCTTTTTCAACAAGTAAACCAAATCTTTTGTAAAAATTTCTTATGAATAGGACATAAATCCTGGATCTCTGGTTGATTTTAAATTTCAATGTTATGTGAACTGAAAAATCGAATTTGTGTGTGGCCTTATATACAAATTTATGTTAAAAGAAGATTTTTGAAGTTAAAAATGTTAATTGTTTAGAGGAAAAATGAAATTTTTGTTTTTTGTAAATTTTTTCTCCTAAAAAAAAAATTTTATTATCTAAAATTTCCAATTTTTTTCACAGTTAGTATTCAATTAAATTTATTTAATATATTATTCTTTTAAAAGAATATGTTTACTATTGAGTTTTTTTTTATAGGGGTGGTGAATTTTACCTCCAGCGAAATACTCTAATAAAAAATAAGTGAGAACATTAAAAACTCTTGCACGTGAATATTAGCAGCATAGTCGCAAAAGACATAATAGCCCTGTTCATTTCCGGTCGGTTGCATTTTCGGTCGGATTTTGTTGTACAAAAATTATCCAATAAAATTTTTTTATTTTCGATCGCAAATTGAACTGCTTTTATAGATTGAAATTTAGTTTGAACTCATTATATTGATATATATTTTTTTCTTAAATGTCACGTAAACAGAAATGGGCTAAAAGTTCAGAAAATGGTTGCGTTGTACAAACTGATCAGCCCAATCAACAATCAAAATTAACTTAAATCTGACCGAAAAATGCGACCGACCGGAAATGAACAGGGCTAATATAAATACAGAATTTTTTTAATGATAAAATTTATTATTTTAATATATTGTTGCTTGAATATACTATTTTTTAAGCTGTATTAATTAACCATTTACATAATTAAATGGGTGCATAATAAAATCGTAATAATTTTATTTTTCAATATCGATCTTTTGAAAATAAAAAATTATAAATTTATTAGCTGAACGTACATATTATATCTTTCAAGTTTAAGAAATGCAAAAAGAAAAAAAATGTATTAGTTAAACAATAATTTACTCTATTTATTTATCAATTTAGATAAAGTTAATCAATATTACAATTGCGCCTAATTAAAATTTTCAAAAGTTAAAAGTTAACTAATAAATAAAATTAAAGCTAGTTTGATATTATTTATAGAAGAAAATTATTTTATATATTTACTTATAATAACACAGTTAAAACCATTCACCTCCCTAATACTACACAATTCATTTACTGTACAACATATTAAATAACTGGCCTTAGCCAACAATAATTTGAAGTAAATTTCATATTTAAAATATTGTAAATTTATTAATGAATAAAAAAAAAATACAACTGCTAAAGGATTATGTAAATGCAGCCTCTTATTACTATACTTCCATCCAAGAATAATTTATCAATAGAACATGATTTGATTAAATTACTTACTGCTTGATCAAATCCCTTATCATGTCTGGATCATTATTCAATCTTCTAGAGATAAAAATTTTCATTTTGCCGCTTTCACTTGTCTATTTCAATATAATTAAACGGAATTGATGATAATTATGTTAGTTTAATACATTATATAAAGTATAATAAACTAAATAATTACCTTCAGAATTAATATCAAGTTTAGTAAGATCTATTCTTGTAGAATCTGTAAAATAAAAGAATAATTATTACTTTAAATAAATTTAAATAATTATTTTAATTTAAAATTACCTGAATATTCTAAATCATCATTGTCAGCATTTATGGGTTCTGGAAGATCTTTAAAATTTAAAAGTCTACTTGTGTAAACTGCTTGAGGATGTGTCATATATGAGAGTGTACTTGCAGATGATATTGGTGATTGAACTGAAAAAGATGACTTCTTATTGGTTTCATCTGCTTCTTCAACTTGCTTATAAATTACAGAATCCACTTTATTGTCGCTAATAATATCTTCATATAATTTCCATATTGACTTATATAATTCATTTGCATTGGGTCGTTTTAAAGGGTCTGCATCCCAACATTGATTAATTATGTCAATAATTAATTGAGGGATTTTATAATCACAATTCGGTCTCAACCCATGACAAATTTTTATAGCTAAGAACTCATCATGAGGTATATCATGATAAAGAAGCAATCCTGTACAAATTTCATATGCAATGATTCCAAATCCATAAATATCACTCTCTTGAGTATATTCTTTTCCTCTTAAAACTTCTGGAGCTACATAAGGTAATACTCCATATATTTTTTTATTACTATTTTGAGAGGATTTGACATTTGCCGGTTGACATAATCCCAAATCAGTAATACAAATGTATCCATCAAAATTGCTTAATATATTTCCACAATGAAAATCATGATGAATTAATCCTTTATTATGAATATTTTTAAGACCTCGTGCAATACCTTGCAAATTCACCAACTTTTGCTCCCAATCCAGTGAAATAAAGTTGTTGTTTAAATATTGTCTTAAACTACCATCTATTAATTCCATCACCATCACAAAATTACTTGTTTTTGGATCTTTGGTAATACCAAAACAACGAACTATCCAACCACTGTCAGGATCAGTTACTAAAATATTTGATTCGACCTTAAAAGAAAATTGTAGTTAGTTTAACAATTATAAAGGCTAATAATATTAAAATCAGTAAAAAATATCTTACTTCTTTTAAAAAATCTGCTGTAATATCTTGTGAATTATGTAAGCACTTTAAAGCGACTTTTGTTTCACCTTCTCTTTCCCATTGATTATTTCTATATTTTGTTTTCCAAGGACCATCTTTCCAAACTGCTTTAAAAGTAGTTCCAAATCCTCCTTTTGCTAAATATTTAACATCTTCAAATTTATCATATTCAATCCACTCTATGATTTGTTTCGTATGTTTAGCTTTTAATTGTGCTTTTTGAATGAAATCATCAATGGCATGATTTCCGCTTGTCCAATTTTTGAAATTTTGTTTAAAATATTGAGACTCACATGATCGACAATAACGATAATGAGTTTTAGGCTGTTTGCAATATATACATAAACCATTTTCTTTATAACATTCTTTTAATTCTTTGTCTGTTATTAGTTTATCAATTAACGATTCTTGTTCTTCAGTCAAATCATTGAGATCGAACTCTTCTATTTGCTCAATTATGTCATCACTTAGTTTAATTTCATCCATTTCAATAAATAATTTTTTAAATAAAAAATATGTTATTAACGTATGTAAAAATTACTAAAGAAAGAAAAGAAAAAAAGTGGTGAAACGTTATTTTATGTTGCAATGATTTCAAGATCGGCAACAAAATTATCAAAAAAAGACTAGTTAAAATATACAGAAGAAACACAATAATCTGATCGGCAATTAAATTTATTCATTATAACAAAAATATTGTGTAAAATGTATAGTTTTACTAGTAAATTTATAATGCTATTAAAGTAAAATTAAGAGATATATGCCGCAATTTGTCACATGATCGGCGCGTACTGTTTTTATTGGTGTATATTATAAATATTGCAGGGGCATCGATCAAGGCATACAATACCCCTCTTCTGCGGGGATCACCTTATTCATCACGTGATCGACACGGACACTGACGTCACAGTCGTCACATGCCTTCAAAATGACATGAGTACTTTATTCGTGAAATGTATCTTAAATGTATTTCAACGTAACTACTCTAGAATAAAATAAATAAAATATATATACTGTATATGTGATTACGCAATTAAACCATCGTTCATGATATTTTCAATATTTTTCAAAACTCCGTCAGGCGTCAGTCATACTTTAAGTTTATTCAAATAAAGATTTTGGCCATCGGCAATTTAACTCAAAAGAATGTAAGCAGTTTAACACCTTATATTATTTTTATTAGTGACAGCCATGTAGTTTTAAAAATTATTGACAAATAAAATTCTATATTTCTATTGAAAACATGAAGGACGAAGACCAAGCTTTAAAGAAGTTTTTTTAAATCTATTGTATTCAATCCACCCTATAAGTTAAATTGGAATTGGTTTAAAGTAATTTAAAAAGATAGATGCAAACTTTTACTTTTTTTGATCTTTTTTTAAAAAACTTTTTAGCATGACAATAATTTATATAATAAATAGCAGTACAGTATAAACGAAAATTTTATTTTTTTTTTGAAAATTTCATATTGAAGATTTGTTAAATAGAACGTATCTTTTTATTGTATTTTAAAATTTTATATACTGTAGATATAGTAAATATACATAATTTTAGCTTTGCAGCTTTCGCTGATGATTTATGGAAGATTTAATTCAAATTCTCTTTTCTATTTGAATAAACATAGAGAGTAGATAAATAAAATCTTAAAGCTTCATATTCATTTATTTTATTTTATAGCTAAAATAGTACACAATTTCATTTCAATCTACACCTGTCAAGTATCCATAAAATTAGGTACAGTACATGAAGTAGAAAGAAAATTTGAAACTGAAGCCCTATAAAAATGAAATGTGTTCAATTTGTTTTATATTTGTGCTCATGAGTAAAAAATGTCTAAAAAAGCACCATTTTGTCCGATTTATGTCTTATTACAAAAAAACAAAAATAAAATAAAATGGTGCCTTTATAGACATTTATTACACATGAGCACAAATATAAAACAAATTTAACACATTTCGTTTTTATAGGGTTAAGATAAGTTACACTATGTATTGTCTACCGATAAAAAGGAAGACTCCCAGAATAATTGTGTGATATAATAGATAAAAGAATCGGTAAAAATACAAGAATATAGCTGCAAATGAAATTGAATAAAAAATAATTTTAGTGAATGTCTGAAGATATAAATTATGAAATAAATTCTATGCTAGTATTACTTTATAAAATCCGATAATGTTTCAGTGAGAGGTCCATGTGCCTGAAAGTAGAAAGTTTTTGGATGACCAGTGAATATAGGCAAGATCTGGATCAGCCGCATTAAGTGACGACAAGGAAGGATGTTCGCTTTGAATGTCATGAAGCTGCTTGCATTTCCGTTTTTGTTGTTTGTGTAGAGAATAAAGATTTATAATTTAACTTTTACCGTCTGATAATGCTTAAATTTTTCTCGTATGCTTTAAAATTTTGGACCGTTTTGACCATACAATTCGGTCAAGGTCTCGACGTCTCGTAAAATCAGTTATAAAATTAACGGTAAATTAGTAACAAAAAGGGATAAAATAGCGATAGTAAATTATTAACTCTAAAGTACCTTTCAAGTCAATCTTTCTACCCAGGAGTTATTTAAACCAAAAAAAATACAGGTGACACGGGAACTAACTTCATTTATTATGTTATTAGTTGATTGTACTGATTAAATTTCACGCTACTTTATTTCTTTCGTAAGAATCTTTATAATTAATCGTTAATCAATTAGGTTCATAATAAAAAAAATTCAATTTATGCCTAATTAATGTTTTAAGAAGAGAACTTTTATTTTAATAAAGGCAGGGACGTACAGTATGTTAGCTATTATTTGAAATTTGACCATAAATGAATTTGAATTAATAATAATAAATTGCAGAATTTAATCATGATTTACTATATAAGAGGAGTTATTTTTTAATAAATTAAAATCGGTTTTGTGTTTATCCAAATCAAAAGAATTTATGAGAGAATTTAAATAAATTCAAATATCAAAGATTATTAAATATGTTATTGTACTGTACGTAAAATTTAAGCAAAATTTACATCATTAAATTTGCAAAATCACGCAAAAATTGTAACAATTTTATAATCTTTCGAAGATAAAATTATATATTTTATTAGCTGAATATCTTTCATGTTTAAAAAATGTAATGTTTTAGGTAAACAATATTTTATTTATCTACCAATTTAGGTAAGGCTTCTTGATTTCCTAATTTTAAAACTATATTTTAAAATATTTATGGAGCAAGATGTTTGCGTGTTAACCTGTTCTAATAAAAGGAACATTAATCATAGAAGAGGTAGTAACTGTGGAACTTGCAAGCATTATTTACTGTAATAATAAGCTTTGATAACCCTTGATTTTCCATAAAATAATGATTTACCAGACTAAAACATTTTGTTGATTTTATTAAGATTAAAATAATATCATGCTCTTTCATACTCTTTTACGGTCTTAATACAATGAGAATAAAATGCTTATTAACATTATGAAACAAGTAATTATTAAAAAAAGGTCAAAATTTTTTAATTTTATAATTAAGTTGACAATTATTACCTTGTTACCCTGATTCCACATATCATGTAAATATTTGGAATTTAATGGATTTTTAAATTGCACTCATTTTCCAAATTTCTTTATAATAATTCAAATCCCTTATAATGTTGGACAAATTTTAAAAAATGTCTTGAATTGCACCCATCCTTTACATAAACAATACTTATTATAACGTTCTTTTACAATTTTTTTCAAATTCTTATTAGCTTGATGACATCATCACTGATTTAAATTAAACAGGAGATATTAGAATTATAATAATTACGATGATTTATTTTTATTTTTATTTTTTATAATATAGACAAAAACAGGGAATTAACTATTACAAATACAAGTCTAAACTAAGCCTTAATAAGTTAAATTCCAACCCCGACATATGTGAGTCGCCTTGCCTTTTATTCGCCCAGAACTTAAGATGTGACTTATCATCAATTATCATGTGATGTGCTTAGTCATTAAAGAACATATTTTTATTATCAAAGTTGAGGTTAAACATCGCTCACATCGATCATTACTAGTATAGTATTCCAATATCTACAGTATATTCTATAGCCTATGGCACAATCAGAGTAAATTTACTATTTTTTTTTGGTATAAATTCTCATTTCATTAATGTTTTGTTTATCTCTCTTTTTATCTATAATTATTATATACGAATTAAATAATTCTTTCCATGATGATTAATTGGTTTAAAACGACTACTATTTGAATTTAACTAAAGAACAAAAATTTATTAATTGTTAACTAATTTAATTTATTTATTATATTATTACAGTATTACACAAAAGTAGATGATAATTAATTACAAACCAGAAAATAAAAAATATTTTCAATATGCTACCTTTTGAATATGGCAAATTTTTATTAGAGTCAAGTCTTATCAATTAATAATTTTTTATTAACATGCGAAAAAATAAATGATATGTATTTTGATCAATCTAGAAACATAATAATATAAAACGCAAGAACAAGTAAAACCAATAATATTTTGCTAATACTTGTATGATAATATTGATCAATAAGTTAATGTCTTCTTCGTACGACCGAAAAATTTTTAATCTCATCATGAATATTTATCAACAACTTATCAATTTCGCGTTCTACTATTTTATTTTCAATTCCAGAATAAAATATTAACGCCAATTATTTTGATCTTTTTGTGTTATCAAACTAGAATTTTTACTAGACGTAGTTATTTTTAACAAAAAAATCAGTAACCTAATGTAAATGGTCTGCACTTGTGTATTGACTCATGTCAGGTATTATTTTTTAATAAAACCATAAAAGAAAATACATACGCTCATGAGTTTCCCAGACTTGTAAT